TGAGTTCTATGGTTTTACTGTCTGATCCATCCGTGGAGACTACTACAGAAGCTAAAACTCGATGTTTCACCTGATATCGGAAATGGAGAAGTAAGTGTGGTAAGCAATGGAAAAGCTAAAAGGCTTAGAATTGATGTTTCTGACTCGAGATATCAGTGTTAGGTTCCCATCTGATGCCAATGAAGCTCTCAGATGAAACTCAAAGCTGAAACAAGAGCAAATACCAATTAATCATTCTGAAAACAGATCATATCGAGTAATCAATACAGAATCTTTTGATCGAGCTGCAACCTGTGAGGCCAGATCCTTGTGTCTTCATCAGATGCCTTAAGTACCAAATCGACATAGGCTTTGCCAGTTGAATCAAATGAAGGTAAAGCGGGTGGATTCTTTTCCAAAAGCCACATCTTGTTTCTTGCAAACCCGTGTTGTTCAAGTGATCCCCGAGTTCCAAACTTTTTTAAAGAGAATGAACAATAATTCAAAACCAAGATTACTTACGTCCAAGATTACATATAGAATTTACGAGTCAATGTACCTGAGGAAAGCATATAGGAATTCCTCCTCGTACCGAATGAGGAGGCTTCGAGTTGGCCTGAAACAAGAGCATCAAATTCACCAAGTATAGTAAAATGTTCCATAAGTGTTAAAAAAAAGCCGAAAGTTTTACCTTAGCGCTGGTGAATAACAATTCATCACCCTTCTCAGTCTTCCAAGAAAGAACTTGTCCTCCATGTAAACTAATCTGAACAAAGCAGCATCCGAAACAAACCGTAAGCGAAATGAAAAATGTATGTGAATGTGATGCAGGAATATCACAAAGATCATAGCTCCCATAAGCAAAAACAGAAATTTACATCTAAAGCTATCATAATTTTCTAGTCAACAGAATTTTCTAGTCGAACACGATCATAAGAACACAAATCCACAAAGTTCCCCAAAAATCAAACCTTTGGACCAATTCAGATACAATATCCCCGGTTCCATATATTCTAATCCAAATAAAAACAATGATACTCCAATAAAGAAGAGTTTGGTAGAGGAAAAACATCGAATAGTTGGTGGGCCGATCTTAAAAGTCAAATATCTTATCCTCAATTTCGAGAATCCCCAGAATCAAATAACAAAATTGCAAAATCACCTTTACAGAAGCACCTTTAGGACTCTGAAGAAGAATCTGATCGGTTCCATTTTTATCCTTGACCATGTCAACTATAGGTCTCTTCTCAACACTACTAACTCCAGATGGTTCCATTGGAAAAAAAGCAACACAGATTCAATGAGAGAGAGACACACACACGAGGGTTCTTAAATCTAGGGGAAAAAAATTAGGCGAAGAAATCACAAGAAGGAAACTTTTTGAAACCCTAAGTTTTCTCGTGGAAATGAAACCGAAACCCCAACCACCACTTCAACTGCTAAGTCCTTTTCTCACACCGATAAAGCTGCAA